GTACAAGCGTGTACTCTAGGTCCCCAACCAGTAGAGCCTTCCTTTTATATCAGGTCCACGACCCCTTCTGTTATAGCAAACATGGACTAGACCATCGACAGTGTGTATGCATAACAGAACTGGTATAGCAGATAGTTATATGTTCCTGAGTTGTTGATCTGTCATCACTTGATGTTTATGTTTCTTACATTGTTGGATTGGCCCCCATAAACGATAACCACAGACAAGACATGTTCATCTTGCTGCTAAAATGTCGAAAAAAATAGAGTACGTTTGATAATATTTTAGATAAATGAAAAGAAAATGAATGTTTGATATCTCAAAGATACTTTCATTCATGATTATCAACACTGTCTACTACCATTAATGTAACTTAAGACTTGATGGATATCTGTCCTTTTTAAGGGCTAAATATATGCTTCACCGAGGAAGTTTAGGATTTTTCTAAGTGTGCAGAAACGCTTTACAGAATTTATACAAGGAGACAACTGTCTCCCTTTATATATTCTGTGAGTCATTTTCTGTAAGTGTAGCGCTTCTCTGAAGTTTATGCTTACTCTCCCTCTTGGTTTCCTCCTCCTTCGGTCCACCCAACAAACCCCGTGCCCCCTTCCCCGTTGTCTCCAGTTTTTTCCATTTTATTGATTTAGCATATAATATGTTCTGTCATACTTACAGATAAGTGTGTTCAAGATTATACACTCCAATGTGTAATGTAAATTGATGGCTCAGTGCTTACATTAACTTTATCGCACTCCATTTTTTATCAGGATTTTTTTGGTATATTGTTTGGAGAGAATCGAAATCTTTACTTCACTAACATGAAGTCCCCGAATTTCAACCTCGAGTCTGAAGATGAATCTGAAGTCAGTAGCCAAGTGGCTTCCAATGTCTCTACCCAAGAAATTCCTCCTGCTCATTCCAAGGAAACCAATGCCACTTTGTCCAGCCTTACAGATCCCGTCAGCCTACAGAACGACTCAATGCCCGTTACTCTTGACCTGACACTTGGTTTCAACAGCAGTGATGCTGAGTTGAACTGTACAAGCCAAACTAGTGGTGGTGAAGTAACGCCTCATCCTCCGGCTGTATCCAGAGTCTTCTCATGTAACTACTGTCGGCGAAAATTTTACAGCTCGCAGGCGCTGGGAGGACATCAGAATGCGCACAAGAGAGAGAGAACGCTTGCAAAACGGGCTATGCGGATGGGCATGCTATCCGATCGATATGCCAGTTTGGCATCTCTACCTCTTCATGGATCGGCATTTCGATCTCTAGGAATCGAATCACATGGTTCCATGCATCAACAAGTTGTACAACAAGAGAGGCCTTTACATGGAGTAAGAGGTGGAGCAAGGTTTAATCACGGTTATTACGGGTTGCCACTATATATGGAGGATGATGAAGTAGAAATGTATTGGCCTGGAAGCTTTCGACAAATTGAGGGACATAATGGCAATAATCTGGGGATTCATTCAGGACAAAATTCCAACATAAATATTGTAGCAATGGTTCCACCTCCTCCTAGGACAGATTCCTCCTTGCCTGATCTAAATTTAAAATTATAAATTTATAACAAGATTTCTTATTCTAGTTTCTGTGTCATTTTCTTTAAACTTGTGACTTCAATTATATGTCAAATTGTACAGGGAGATTGAGTATTAGAGATGAACGTCGGATCCTGATTTTCCCTCTACTTTTGACATTTTTTCCAAGTTTATATCCCCCAGTTCATGTATGACTTGATGATGCAATGGATATTAGATTTGCAGTTTGGAATAAAATTGATTCTGATTAGTTCCATTGGAATAACAAAAATAGATAATACAATGTTTTAACTTTCTGTCCTGGAAATAAAATTGAGCTCTCAAGTTTTCATACTCTGAACAGACAGAGGCTGATTAATTTCTGGGCTGCAAATTGCCTAATGGGGATTCCAATGGAAAAAATGATGAAATACTGCTGAAGATTCATTAGTTCACAAGTATAATTCTTCGTACCTTTGTAGTTGAATCACTCCGTCACAATCTGATGTAACTTTCATCTCCATAAAGTCAATTTCCAAGCCATATCTCAAGTCTTAAATCTGCCACTGTTACCCAGGAGTGTCATTGAATATTGATGATATCACTGTAACAATTTTTTTTTTTTTTCTCAAATCGACCTCTGTGAAAAAAATAAAGAAAATGAAGGGAAAAATGTTGAAAAATCAAATCGACCCCAGTTACTTGGCACTAATTCGAACATTTTTGTATTTTTTAAAATTTTTTCAAGTGTTTTCTTTCATTGTTCCTGCTGTTTATCTTTCAATCTTTTTATGCGAACTTCGAGATATGATAAATTGATACCAGTTGATCTAAAATCAAATGTAATTTTCATCGTGATGAAGACTATATATCGAATAAGAATATAACTTTTTCATTTCATCTTCTTCAGTTTCTTTTTTCACAGAGATCGATTTGGGAAAAAAATATATTATTACTACTTAATAACCGAACTTAAAATTATATCTCAATAGTCACTAAACATTGTCAAGTGTTATTACTTCATAACTGAGCTAAAAAATGTATCTCAATGGTCACTAAATTATGTATCGTGTTACCAATCCATCATTTAAGTCAATACCGTTTATCGAATTTAACGGATTTTTTCACTTGAGTGATGGATGGGTAACAGAGTGTGTATCTCCGTGACCATTGAGATATGTTTTTGAGTTTAGTTATAAAGTAGTACCACTTAGCGAAGTTCCGTAACCAATTGAAATATATTTTTAAGTTTAGTTATTAAGTAGTAATATAAGACAGAGCTTACATGAATGGTTATTGAATTTTGCAAGAACCTGCTTGACCAATGCATATGTCCTCTATTGTCTTCAAATCTTCCAAAGGAGATTAAAATTTTGAAACTTTTAAGGACATTGCTAAGCACGACTTGGCCGATCTCTAAGCCTCAAGAAACTTTAGATTTTTCAACATGAACCTGCCTAACATTTCCTGGTTGAATTTTGAACCTCCAAGAACACATGAAATCTTCAAATACAAGTATACAACCTTATATAAGTCTAAACAGATTTAACTAAATCTTTGTTGGTAACATTAGCTTACCATCGTTGAAAGTAAAATTGAACAAAGATAAATGAGCTCACAAATGCAAATAATAGCTCTAGTCAGTGTTTGTCTCACTAGAGTTTGAGAGCTTCTTGTAGACATAAAAATAATAATAATAATAAAATAAAATGGATTTGATCGATTTAAATCATTAGCCCAAGCCCAAAGGCCCCTACCAAATTTTAAATAAATAAACAAACAAAATAAATAAAATCATAATTACTCAATTATCTCTTTTAATTAGATGTAATTGAGTAATTATCAAAATTAGCACGATTTCTCCTCTATAAATAGGACCAATGGTCCATAAGACAGGGACACAGAAAGCAAGCAAGAAAGAAAGCAGAGAACGACATGAAGTGTTGAAGAAATCCCAATGTGAAAGAAGGAAAGAAATTCTGTCAAGTCTAAGTTCGGTGAACCCCAAGAATATTAAAATCTTCTTCAAATCAAACAGGTTCACGCCAAATCCAAGAAGATCAAAGTCTTCTTCAAATCAAATCAAATTCAAGTCCAAGTTCAAGTCCAAGCCTCAAGATTCAAATTCCAAACAAGTCAAATATCGACAAATCAAAATTTCAACAAATTATTGAAGACCAGGATTTAAGCCACGTGGCCTCTCGTCTTCAAATATTCAGATCATTAATCAGAGGATTTTGCGATTTTACAATTACAAGAAGGTCAACATCACTTGTATTTATCAAAATACAATTTGCAACGATTTCTGTATTTTAATACACGATTTCGTCGTACAAATTTCTTGGCACGCCCAATGGGACCTTCTTGTCCTCTCATCTTTTGATCTCAAAATCTTCAAATTTCAACTATTACATCAGCAATAGCAGGCGAAAAGGCGAAACAAACTATGACTCATCTTGAAGAGACACTTGTTGAACTCTTCCATGTGACAAAGGCCCAAACAAAAATTGAGAAAACTCAACTGATCACACCACCGAAGAAGTTCTCCCACAAAAGCAAAGTGAAACTTGCTTTCAAAAAGCCAAATTGTCATTCGACAGAAAAAACCATAAGTTCAGCGAAAAATTTTCATTCGGGCTCCATTTCCGATGGTAGATCTTTGTCTGGATCCCTTCATACCACTTTTCAGCAAAAGTGGGAAGATGATGTCTCATCTGAAGAATCTCTTGAGCCAGTGATGGTCACAGAAACGGCATCGGGCTCAAATGACCGAATTCAACAAATGACTTTAGCGATTGAAAAATTAACAAAGTCATTGGAAGACAAAAATGCACAGATAGCACTCACACATAGGCTAGAGTCGTAAAATCTATCGACTAAAGAAGATCAGGAAAATTCAGGATCTTCCAAGGCCCAAGAGTTAGAAGTCCAAGAGTGCCAACAAAAGCAAGATATGCATGATCGGATAGTTGTTCAAAACGTGTTGCGTGACACCAATCAACTCTCTGTTGGCTCTCTGTCCGTCCAACAACTTCAACATATGATTGCAGACACCATTCGTGCCCAGTATGGTGGTTCATTACAATCTTCACTGGTGTATGCCAAGTCCTATTTTCACGGGGTGCTTTTCTTCTTGGCATAGAAAGGGACACCGTGCGGTAGTAGTCTGCTCCGCTAGACTACCTTCCGCCTTTTCTCGATCACGTAGGGACGAAAGAAAATTTGATTACAACTTTGTAGAAAGCTTACAATAGAGAATTTGAATACATTGAAAGTAAATTGAATATTGATTGATGAAAACTGAACATTACAATTGATGAAAGCAGAAAATTACAATTGCTGGTGTAGGGGGCAGACACCAGTGAGCTTGAAAGATTTTTGAATGACTAATACCCCATATAATAGCATTCTGAACAAAAACTCAAGTGACGGGAGTAGACATTTAAAAGACGAGGAATCATACTAAACGTTTACCAATATTAGAGCTATTTTACAACTGAAATAACTATTACATTGAAAAAAATTACAACTCAAACTTGAATTAATATTTACAATGTGCGGCCAAAGTTGGGCAAACTACGGCTGCGATAGTGTCAAGGGGCTAAGTAAAGCTGCGGTCCTTAACATTCTCCCCCATTTGTTTTGGCGACGTCCTCGGTGCCATCAATGCATGATACGCTTCAATTAATGATTTGAAGGCCCCGAGATCTTTTTCTCTTTCCCAAGTATTCTCCTCGCTGCTGCATCCCATCCATTTGACCAAGTACTCCTGATGATCTTTTCTAGAAGTTCGAGTGATTCGATGGTCAAGAATAGCTTCAGCAACCTTCTTTCCAGCTTTCTTCAGTTCAAATACAGGTCGCTTTGGCTCATTTCTAGATGCGTCCTCCTTATCCGCAAAGTATGGCTTCAACACACTAACATGAAGGACCTTGTGGATTTTACACCATGAAGGGAGTTCAACTCTGTATGCAACTCTTCCAATCCTCTCCACAATGGGTAATGGTCCAATGTATTTTGGTGACAATCTTGAGTCCTTCCCTCTTGTTGGTTTGTAAACATTTCTGTCGGGAAGCTTAACCATTACCAGATCTCCAACATTGAATTCAATAAAACGGCGCTTTAGATTTGCAGCCTTTTTATACCGTTTTTGAGCTTTTTCAAGATAACTCCGAGCAATTTCAATATTTCATTTCCACTATTGAGAAAATCTCTTTGCTTGAGGGGACTTGGTACTTCGTTCGATATCCACTGTATGAGGGAGTAGCGGTTGCTGGCCAGTAACAATCTCAAAAGGACTCTTATTGGTGGAAGAGCTCTTTTGCGCATTGAAGCAAATTTGGGCCGCATCCAAAAGTTTTACCCAATTTTTCTGCGAAGTAGAGATAAAGTGCCGAAGATATTCTTCTAGCATAGAATTGAAGCGCTCCATTTGTCCGTCAGATTGTGGGTGAAAACTAGAACTCATGCTCAAAGTTGAACCAAGAAGTTTAAACAACTCAGTCCAAAATATGCCAATGAAACGAGGATCTCGATCACTGACGATGTCCTTAAGCAGCCCCCAGTATTTGACAATATGTTTGAAGAAGAGTTGAGCTGTCTCTTCCGCAGATACGTACTTAGGCGCTGCAATGAAAGTTGCATATTTTGATAGACGGTCCACCACGACAATGATAGTGCCAAAATCCTCAACTTTTGGCAACCCAATAATGTAGTCCATCGATACACTTTCGAATGACCAGTTGGAACTGAAAGGGGCTTCAGCAAGCCCGCCTTTTTCTGATAATCTGCTTTATCTTGCTGATAAATAAGACAAGTTTTTACATATGTTGCAATGTCGTCCCGCATTTGAGGCCAGTAGTATGCACGTTGTAGTAGTGCACAAGTGCGTTCTTCTCCGGGATGCCCCGCCCAAATTGTGTCATGGCATTCCGTAATTAGTGATTTCCTCAGATCTCCGCCCTTAGGAACATATAGGCGGTCTCCCTTTTTCTTCACTAGTTTCCCATCTAGCCAGAACTGTCGAATTTTACCGTGCTTGATAAGGTCAACCAAATATTAGGTAGCCGGGTCCTTCTCCATAAGTGCCCGAATTTGGTCTCTAGTGTTCGTGGAGATTGCGCTCCTTGAAAGAGCAGCTACAGAGCAGATGGTAGCTAAATCAGCCCGTCGACTAAGAGCATCAGCAACATGATTACTAGAGCCGGGACGATACTCTAACATAAAATTGAACTCTGAAAGGAATTCCTGCCAACGAG